TCCAATATCCAGGAGGATAACTATATGATTTTCTTCAGGTTCATCTTCTTATTTAGCTTCTCTAGGATCACGAATAATAGGCTCAAAAACCTTTAATTATGGCTAGAATCCATTTATGAGTGAGTACATACCATATTCCTCTTTTTGGGTCTGGGTTACCTCACTCAGTAAAGCGTTTTCTATTTCCATCCATTTGCATGCAAAATTCAAGATGTCATTGTTTTTTACTGCTGAGTAAAACTCTAATGTATATATGTTCCACACCTTCTTTAACTATTCTTCTATTGAGGGGCACCTAGGTTGTTTCCAGGTTCTGGCTATTATAAATAGTGCTGCTATGAACATAGTTGAACAAATGCTTTTGTGGTATGATAGGGCATCTCTTGGGTATATACCCAAGAGTGGAATTGCTGGGTCTGAGGGAGGTTGACTCCCAGTTTCCTGAGAAACCGCCACACTGATTTCCACAGTGGCTGCACCAGTTTGCATTCCCACCAATAATGGATGAGTGTTTCCCTCACTCCACATCCTCTCCAGCATAGGCTATCATTGGTGTTTTTGAGTTTAGCTAATCTGACCGGTATAAAATGGTATCTCATAGTTGTTTTGATTTGCATTTCCGTGATCGCTAAGGATGTTGAGCATGACCTTAAGTGTCTTTTGGGCATTCGAAGTTCTTCTGTTGAGAATTCTCTGTTCAGATCAGTACCCCATTTTTTAATTGGGTTAATTAGAGTTTTAGTGTCTAGTTTCTTGAGTTCTTTGTATATTTTGGAGATCAGACCTTTGTCTGATGAGGGGTTGGTGAAGATCTTCTCCCAGTCGGAAGGTAGCCTTTTTGTCTTACTGACAGTGTCCTTTGCTTTTTTTTTTTCTTTTTTCTTTTTTTTTTGAAATGGGGTTAGTCCTAGCTGGCCTGGAACTTGTTATATGGACCAGGCTGGTATCACACTCACTGATCCGCATGCTTCGTCCTCCTGAAGTACTGAAATTAAAAGGCCTACACCACGATGTCTGGTTTCCAATGCAGTTCGATAACCTACTCATGAAAGTATTGGTGGGCTTGCTGGATGCGTTCTATCTGCCCTCCAGATCTCTGCTCCTTCATTTGCTTGTCTGCCCGAGAAAGTTGTATGAATTCCATGAGCCAGCTTCCAGCCCTTGGTTATGGAACTGTTCATGAAAACAATACCATCGGGGCTCAGCGGTTAAGAACACTTGGGCTAGAGAGATGGTTCAGTGGTTGGGAGCACTGGCTGTTCTTCCAGAGGACTTGGGTTCCCAGCACCATGGTAACTCACACCTGTGTAATTCCAGTTCTAGATGATCTGGCATCTTCACACAGACTTACAAGCAGGCAAAACACCAATGCATATAAAAAATAAAAATCTTAAAAAAAAAACAAAAAAACACTTGTTGCTTTTGCAGAAGGCCTAAGTTTGGTTCCCAGCAGCACCCACATGGTGGCTCACAACCATCAGTAAGTCCAGTTCAACTGGACCTTCCTTCCTCTTCAGATCCCTTTGGCACCAAGAGATGCATGTGGTGTACATACATACATACATACATACATACATGTAAGCAAAGCACTTGTACACCTAAATCTAGAAAAAGGAAAACCAGTACCATCAATTTAGCATCTGTTATTATCAACTACATAAAGCCTGTAGTTCATGTTGTCGGCTTCTGGGACATTCATTTTGCCGAATAACATTGGCATCATCATTAAATAATTAAATCCTAATTAATACATGGCTGGAGAGATGTCTTAGCACTTAAGAGCATTGACTACTCTTCCAGAGACCTAGGTTCAATTCCTAGAACCTATATGGTGGCCCATAATCACGTGTAACTCCAGTTCTACGGGATCCGATACCCTTTT